GGTCAGTCGGGGATATCAGATATTACGCAGATGTCGCGGTCGCACGCTGCATCTTAACTCAGCAGTTTGGGCGCTTTTGATAAGCATTTAGTTACTGCGCAGGAGATGATAGAGTAAACTAGCCACGTAGTATAAGGATTTATAAAGTAAGGTTCATGTGCAGAGTGCATGTGGGAAGCAGGGATCTATAACCGACGATTTAACAATACAGATTTAGCACGTCGTCTGATCTGCAGTCTGTCCTGGCCTGTCTAAACAGCAAGGTTCATCTGTTGAAACGTTTTTAAAAGTATAAAAGTAAAATGTCTTAAGTTACTGATATCATGATCATATGGTCAATATTATTTGAGTGTAACTTTCGTCTGCATGGCAATAATACAAACTTAACAAGCAGACTATTCCACATATCTACTCGTATCTCTATGCCCTTCATCAGTTCCGGTTAGCCGTTCTGGATTTACCGGATAAAGCTTTTTTTTATTGGTATGTAATTTTATATGACTATGTATTGAAACAGAAACAGGAATGTGGCTTGTTTAATAGATAGTATTGTTCATGAATCAATTAAATATTTAATTGATTCATGAACAATACTATCTTCTACTTCTTTTATTTTAATTCTTCTACTAGCTTCCATATGGAAGCTAATTCTTGCTTGCAGTACATTCAATCTAGTTTAATGCCAGTGGCCGCTTGGTTTTTTGTCTCCTTTACCGCTGCATTCCTCTGTGCTCCTAGGTTAGACACACCTTTTTTTTAAATTCGGACTACCTTTGGCCACTTTCTTGTAATATGCTATACCAACTGTTACATTACTAAGCCAATGTCACCTTTGGCTGTGAAAAATATATAAAAATTACATATAGTATACGAAAACACTGATCGCCGCTACCTCCGCTACCGATGCAATGTAGAAGTGAAAACTACTTCGAATAAGACCATATAAATGGTAGCTGCCCCTCCCCCCATTTTGGCCTATATCGTCGACTGGCGACGGCCACGGAAAATATTTAACCTTCAGCAGAATTAGACACATTCATTTTTAAAAACACACGTATTAATTTAGTATTTACCCAAGAATAAATTATCAAACATCACAACAAGGAAGTTACATAATTAAAATAACTCCGCCTCCACTTAACAAAATATTGTAGAATTTAGTAGGAACCCCCGCGCCTCACATTCGTCGTCACACAACTTGATCCATTTGTCGCAAATAATTTACATTATCGTAATTAGTCCATCTTCATATTCAAGAAACCGGTCGCGTTGATATTTTCCCGATCAAGTTCTGTTGTCGGCTTTATGATACCGGACGTCGCGTCGCCCGCTCACAAAATTATACCATAAATATAACCTATTAAGGCGACACTAAAAACTTATTTAAAACGAATGTTATCATTGGCGTCTTTCAAATAACAGGAGCGGCTTCATTATAGACTGACCAAATATAAAGTATATTGAATGCTAGCAAGACAGATAATATGTATTATTTGTAGGTATACATACATGTAACGTTTAGAAAATTCACAGTGCAGAACAAATATGTGGCGCGAGAAATGTAGTATTCCATGTGTAGCACGAGTACC